CCTTCTCCAGGTCCTTATGCCAGAAAGTGGTAACTGGCATAGACTTTGACTCATACAGGACGACCTCCCTACTCAATTGATCGTATGTGATCCTGGCCTGATGTGACTTGTCAAAGAAATGCCCGCGTAGGGCCTCTGGGATGGCACGATAAAACAACTGGACCAACTGGCCCCGTGGTCCGGGACGGCTACCAAGTCGTCCATAGTACCCTTGAGTGCCTTGGCACTCCTCCACTGCCGAAAGTGAATCGTTTGGAGCTTATCAAAGGCTCCAATGCCTCGCGTTGGGTCAGCGAACCGCTCCTTGAGGAGCTTGAGGAATTGGGAGAGAGGAGTGACTTTGGAATACGCAACCAGGTTGTTTTCACAACCGGTTGTACGCGCAAGAGACCTGGCGAAGCTAGCCGCTTCATCTTTGAGGGCCTGGAAGGCCACAAGGACTTGTTCCTCGGCCAAGATATGCTGCAAGTAAATATAACTATTGGCACTGGCTTCCCAATTTTCAAAGTTTTCTTCCTTCTTTCCCCCGTATGCATCCGGAAACTTAAGCTTCACTGGGTCCTTACGGGGCCTGGCCTCTCCCTCTGCGGCGGCTACAGCTTTGGCACCCTGAATGGCGCCCTCACAGAACTTCCCGACATTGTCTCTCAACTGTTTGACTTCGCCCCCAATATGGGTGACGATCTCGCGCGCAAAGTCTCTAAACCCTGACCGCATGGCACTCAAGGCTACATCTTGGCTCCAACTTGCCTGACGCTCTTCCATCCAGGCCTTGCTCAACACCTCTAGATAGCCCAGTACCTTGTCCCACTTGGCCTTATCATCTGGCTGGGCCAACACCTCCGCTCTACACTCCTGCACCCTTGCCACTGCTGCGGTCATCTTATTCACTTCCTCTCTCCTCCTCTTCTTCTCCCTCTTCATTCTCAACTTCCATGCTAACTTTTGCTCGTCTTCCCTCTCTCTTCGTTCCATTGGGTCTGTCATGGCTGCTAGCTCAGCGGCCAGCGCAGCCTTCTCATCCTTAGTCACATAGGACTCCGCCTCCTCGTCTTCCCCCAACGATAAATAAGCGACCCACTCGTTGATCTTCTTCTCTAGCTCAGTGTTTGTCTCCCACTTCATCGTGCCACCACTGCTCCCTTCTCCACTCTCAATTCTCATTCTCTCTTTCTCTTCTTCTGCTGCCGCTTCTGCTTCAGCAGCCTTCCTTCTTTCTTCCTCCTCCTGTTGTACCCTCTTCATCTCCTCCTCCAACCTCTTCATCTTTGCCGCCTGCTCATTTGCGATAGCCTTTAGCTTCGCCTGCTTCTCGCGCTCTTTTCTCTCTTTGTTCTCTCTGACTAAGGCGGCCATCTTTTCTTGCTGCTCCTTGCTATAGGGGTTAGTCTCTAGCCCAGTACGGGTCTCAACCATGGTGATAGGTGCACAATCCGGATGATTCCACTCCTCACCACGTAGACTCTGATCCCTGACTGACAAACCTATTGACTCAATCTAATGACTCACAGAATCCTGACAGGGATCCTGCCAACTAGGATCTCTAGCCTAGAATGGCTGTCACTACTGAACCAGTGGCTGATCAGGAGGCATTTAAGGAGATCCCCCGTAACTCCTCAAGAATTCTTTAACGTCGCAGACAAGACGACGTGATCAGCTTGGTTHTGCCTGTGCTTTCAGCCCACAACTCAGCCTTTCCGGCCTACTGTGCCACACCGAGCAGCCCGCCGGTCTGTACCGGTCCTTGGGAGGGTTCGTATCCCCCGGGACAGTCGAGTCGTCAGACACAAATCATCAGCCTTACTTGGTCTGGTAGGGGAGTGGTTCCAACAGGCCCTCAACACTTAAAGACGGCCTCCGTTTCAGCCTGCAGCTCAGAGTTCGGACCCTCTACGCTGAAACTGAGCAGACCTGCCGGACAGTACCGGTCATTGGGCTAGACGAGTTGTTTAACGAGCGCTCGCCGCTCATGCCCAGGTCTCCAGATACCAGAGTAGAGATTAGTCCTACTAAGTCTCGTGCAGGTTTGGCAGCAAGGCCCTATCCTTCATCCACAGAGTCCTATGACCTAGGACATAAGAGACTCAATGCAGAAAGAATAGACAGACAGACGGTACTCAACAAGTACCAAGGGATATGTGCACATCCATAGGGCAAGGGGCAGGCTAAGGGCTTGGCGAGATGTTACCAATTCCAACTTGGTCAAAGTCTTGGTCAACGCTGGTCAACGCTGCTATGACCCTTGGTCAACTTCGGTTGACTCCGGTCAACGAATTCGGTCAACCCTCTCGGTCAACTCCCCGGTCAGCTATGGCTGCCGGCACTTCTTCCTCGCCAATCCCCTTCTTCTTCCTTACCACCCTTGCCTCCTTTCCCCTGCTGTCTTCTTCTTCCTCTTTTTTTTTTTTTTTTTTTTTTTTTTTTTTGTCGGTCTTCTTCACCTCCTAGCTATGGCCGCTTCTCTCCTTGCGCGGTCTCTCCCCCTCTGTCCTTCTCCCTCCTACTTTGTCACTCCGTGGTACAGGCTCCGCGGCTATGGCCGYTGTCTTTCTTCTTCRTGGACTGGACTGCGCAGCAACTTTCACAGGTAAGTGACAACCAAACTTGTATCGCTCATCTCTCTCTCTCTCTCTCTCTCTCTCTCTCTCTCTCTCTCGCTCTCGCTCTCTCTCTCTCTCTCTCTCTCTCTCTCTCT